GGGAGGTCGGTGAAGGGAGGATAGGTGGGGGAAAGCAGAGGTACGGGCTGCTTCAAAACGTGGGCACGACAATAGAATGTGTGGGACTGAAAGAGGAACATTACATAAGGAACATTGGGGTGGATCGGATTGTGACATCAGATAGGAGTGTGCTAGACGGGTGTGGTCAAAGGGTAAGCGGGCGAGAGCCGTCTCTCAACGTCTGTTCCGATTAAATGGAGCTGACTAGGAGGAGACTGATAGTTTTACAGTATGTAATTCATTAGTGCAGAGACTTGACCAAAAAGATTGCCATTGATTATACAAGAAAGTCTTAAAGTGTGGGTAATAATCCGTGGCTGGGAAACGTGAGAAACGTGGTTGGTATGATGTGAACATAGCGGTGTAGTGTGCTAGAGTATCTGCCTGTTCATTGCTGGGGATTCCAACATGGCTGGGTACCCAGCAAAATTTGATCGTTTTATGGCGTGTGGACAGGTAGAACAACCAGTTCTGGATCTTACAAACAAGGGGGTTGGTAGTGTGTATTGACTTTATGAGAGTTCATGAGTTACAGGAGTCTGTAAAAATTGTAAAAGAGGAAGAGGGGAGTGAGTATATGTGTTTTAAGGCAAAAAGGAGTGCATACAGTTCTGTAGTAAGGACACTGGATTTAGGAGGGAGGGGGTATTTGAAAGTACGAGTTGGGAAGATTACTGCAAAACCAGCACCGGAGGTGGATTTGGAGCCATCAGTATATACATGAATACTGGAGGAATGAGTGGAGACATGGTCAAGGAAATGAGTGAGAAGGACAGCAGGAGGAATATTTGATTTTGGTCGGTCAGGAAAAACGGAAGAGCAGATATGAGGGTAAGGTATAAGCCATGGAGCGACAGAATGGACAGAGAACAGGAGAGGTCGGAGATGGGGAAAAGCGGAATGAGAGAGGAGGGTATCCATGCGAGTGGAGAAAGGAGTAGGTAAACATGGAGAAGCTAAGGTAGCAAGTAAGGATTGTGGGACAGTTAGTTTAGTGAGGGGAAGTTCGTGGAATTGAGCATAACATCCGAGAGAGAGAAGGGCACGGCATCAAGAGAGAGATGGTACGCCTGATTCAGTGTACAGGCTCTCAACTGTAGAGGAGTGGAAGGCACCTAGGGCTAAGCGAAGACCACAGCAATGGATTGTATCAAGATGGGCAAGGAGAGAAGTTGAGGCAGAGTAGATATGGCATCCATAATCCAAAGTGGAGAGGATTAAGGTAACAGGAAGATGTAAGATTCGGAGACGGCAGCGATCTTTTTCTTTATTGTAAAGAATATGGTCTCGCCAGGACAGTTTGGAGTCAAAAATGACGCCTAGGAATTTGCCAGAGGAACGGTGTTGGAGTGGAGTGCCATATAAGAGGAGTGGAGGTAGGACACCTACACATGTACAGGAGAAAAGGATGGTGAGAGATTTGGAGGTAGAAAAGCGGAAGACATGGTTTGTGGCCCAGGAAGATACTGATGAGATTGCAGACTGAAGAAACTGTTAGAGATTTGGTATGGATGTGCCAGAGGCATAGATGGTTAAATCAACATATAGTGATGACTGGGCTCCAACTGGTAGAACTGAGATAATGTCATTAATAACAAGAAGGAATAAAGTGGTACTGAGGGCACTGCCTTGTGGGGCGCCTTCAATTTGAGGAAAGAAAGATGATGTGGTGGAGGCAATTTTGACCTGGAAAGTGCATTGGGAAGGGAAAGACTTTATGAAGACACTCGTTTCCACATATGCCTAGAGAGGACAATTGTTGGAGAATATGGTACCACCATGTCGTATCATATGCTTTTTCTAGATCAAAAAATATAGCTAGTATGAATTCATGGCGTACAAATGCGGATGTAATATATGTCTCAAAATGAGCAAGGGGGTCAGCTGTGCTTCAGGCACGGCGAAAACCAAATTGAGAAGGAGAAAGAAAATACCACATTAAGCGGAAGTTAACCATTCGCTCTAGTAGTTTGCACAAGCAGTTAATTAGTGCAATGGGATGATAGTCTTGAGGGAGTGTACCCATTTTATTGGGTTTCAGGAAGGGGAGGATAAGAGCTTCTCGCTAATGAGAGGGAAAATTTCCTGATGTCCATATGTGGTAGTAAATTGTTAATAGGAAGGATAAGGAGGAAGATGGGAGTTGCCGGAGCATACGGTAGTGAATACCGTCAGGGCCTTCATGAGTGTTGCGGCACAATTGGGGAAGTAGGAGACTGAGTCAAGGGCTGAGGCCCAAGGCACTGAGTCTGCCTTCGTTTCTTAAGCCCCCCACAGCACTGGATTGGAGGGGATCAAGCTAAGAAGCATATTTGATAGTATAATAAAAGATAAAATAAAACAACTAATAGTAAATAACTTGTTTAATGTTTCATCCATATAAAATGCCAACTGGAAGATGTTGGTTGAAAACTGTCAAAATATCAGACAAGTCTTCAGTCTTGCAATGAAGCATAATAAATGAACTATTTAACACTTA